CACGTGCGTCCGTGCCCCCTCACGTTCGTATATCCCACGCCGAACTTAGTTTGGCGTGATGCGGGCCACGCTGTCCAGTGTGAGGCGTGACTTCCTGTCCGGCGCGTGGTTTGACTTGTAATCACGCGTTAGAGGTGATCGCTCCGCGGTGTGAAGAAGTATAGGGACCTCCCGGCGCGAGCGCTTGGAAAACCGCTACTTTGTCCTCATGAGTTTGGTGATTAAGGCGCACGCACGCCTTTCTCAGTTGCCATAACAGCGTTTTGCCGGTGGAAGAGCTGAGCTGAGTCGAGGCGGCTCGGGCTGGCGCATGGCCCGTTTCAGAGCCACGATTTCCACAAGGAACCACCAGCTCTTGAGGCAGCGGGGACTGAGCGTCGGCTTGAAGAGGCCACCAGACTTGGTTTGCCCAGTCTCGCAGCAGTTGGACGGCCGGCTGACCCGCCGGGCGCAGCTGACGGCCGACCCCCTTCCTCGCCTGGGACCACCGACCAACTGGCCCGGTCTGAGAGCAACAAGTCCTGCCGGCAAGCGCCGCCGCCGGTGGCGCCATCTGAGGCCGAGGTCCGGTCCCTGGGCCTGACCGTGCCGCGCTGTCTGGGCCGGTCCCGGTCCGCTGCTTACCGCTTGCGCTCCGTAATGAGGCGCATTCCTGGCTTAACTGGTTTCCGGCCATTCAGCGTGAAAATGTTAAGGAAGACCGTTTTCCAGCTTGTCCGCCATGCAGCACTGTCATCATCGGAAAGGCGTCAGCTGTGGCAGGTTGAATCCGAAGAGTGCAACGGATAATACCGCTTGATTTATGGCTGTAAGGTTCAGTTCAAAACTAAATAGTGGTCTCATTTTGTTTTCTCCGTGAGAATAAGCGCAAATGCAACTGTTTTGCTTATAAGTATAGACGTAATGCGTCTTGTGCGTCTTATTTGGGGTGTCCCAGCCCCGGACATATTTCAAAAACATGCTCTGGTTAAACTTTAGGATTATTGACGTCTACTAGCAGCACTGGGTAGTGCCACTGCAGCACCATCAAAATATAAAATGGAGATAACGTGAAATACGCTGTCAACGCTTAGCAACAGCACTGCACTCCTTCCTTTTTGGTAGCCCTCGAGTACTGAGTCCGCGACATTTGCAGTTATCGCAACCGCCATCGTTCGCCAGCTTTTACTACCCAAGAATTTTGACAAATCAGTGTGTTGCAAGTATTAAAGAAGACGTACGCTGGAAAATGCGGAGCGAATGAAATGTAATACTTCCATGGCGGGAAGCAAGGATACCTACACGTTGGAAAATGCGGAGCAAGTGAACTGTAATACTTCCATGGGGGGAAACAAGGATACCTATGACAAATCTCCCGCAGAAGAAATCATATTCTTCAAATCAAAATTCTGAGATATTCCAAATAATTTGGAGAGACCTGGTTTACCAATCAAATTGGGCGCGTCTGATTTAACAAAAAGTGAAACGTACAAAGGGGTGACATGCCCATATTCTGTTTAAGAAGCTCTAATATCACTCAAAGATGGCGTTAAAACTTAATTGTCCGCTCGGTCGATAATCGAATCCACACAATGTTCAGCTATAAGGCGTTTTATTCGAAATGTCAATTTTATTAGCTTATCTGTATGAATTATTTGTATTTGATGTTTGATCTGTATGAAAGCATGTATTGGCATATGCATATATATATATATATATATATATATATATATATATATATATATATATATATATATATATATATATATATATATATATATATATATGTATATATATATATGTATATATATGTATATATATATATGTATATATATATATGTATATATATATATGTGTGTGTGTGTGTGTGTGTGTGTGTGTGTGTGTGTATGTATGTGTGTGTATATATGTGTATATGCATGTATATTAAGTTTTTTTACATTTGGACCTTTTTTGCATGTTCACTGCTCACATGTATATCAATACGTCTCCACGACAGATCCCTGAGCACG